GCCGCCGCTGTTTCAGTTCCTGCCAGAGGGGACGTTCAGTGCCGGGCAGTCGGCTTTGAGTCTCTGACGCAGCGAGTCGTCCCGCCGGTGAGAGGGACGAGATAGCTTAGTGGCATCTTCGCTATGTTTTGCGTAGTAATTTTTTTTTTTCAGCCGTGCATATAGTTGCTTAGTTTGCTTGGTTTTGAAATTATCAAGTGAATGATGAGCTTTAGGGATTGTTTGCTAGCGTAAGTGAAATTGTGGAAATGAATCGTTATGTCTTGTTTTGAATCTGGTTTTAGTGAAAGAGATTGGTAAAAGAAGATGACCTTCCTCATTGCTCAAGGATCAAGCAAATGTTGAAATAGAAATAGTCTTAGTTGATGCCGGTAAAAGATAACGATAAAAGATAACAATTATCGTAGATTAAAACTATTCCGTTAAGGAATAAGAATTTAAAAATACATGATAGATTAAATTAACATTGTTGTATAAATTCAAATTAATATTGCTGTATAAATTCTTCAATCAACTGCATATAATTTTAATAATAATATTCATTGATAATATTTATAGGGTAAAAAATATAAGGAGTTATGTATGGAGAAACTATTAGAAAGTTTGAAGATATCATTTAAAAGAACTAAATTGTTTTTATTTCAAATGGAGAAGTGAATGAAATAAACTCAAAATTCGGAAACATTTATGAATCACCTGAATTGACATTGATAAAAGGCAAATTTGACAAAGAAGCACTGACCGAGTTCCCATTGAAGAACATATTGAACAATTTGGTCCTAATTAAAAAAACATTCTTCATGAAACATACAAGAAAAATTAGTAAGTATTTACAAATTTTCATACTTTATTCTTGAAATACTAAAGGAATCATAAACTTAATATAAAACTACATATAAATAATCTTACAATAGAAACTAAAGTGAAACCATTGATCAACTATATTGTGATATATAATAAGCTAGATAAGATGAGGAAATCCCTATAATTGACAAAACATATGCACATGATACTTAATTACCATAGCGTAAGTAAAAAAGTTAAAATTGATATTTTTCTCTTTTCTATATAGTGGCATGACTCTGTAAGTAACCTTATTTCGGGATATGACTACAAACGAATGATCAATTTTTAGGGACACGATCAAAGATAAGCATGTAATAGTACTGTCAGATTTCAAGATCTTTAAATATGAATGTAACATAGTTTACAACTAAAATTCTTATTAAAGGCCACGAAACATAAAATTTACCTTATATCTCAAATTTATAGAAAAGATATGTATCTCATCATAAATTGTGTTAATAATATATATCAATCTAAAGATACAACTTATTGAAGAAATAAGAGAATGATAAGTAAACCAAGCAAACATCCATATAACACGATAAAGAAAATATATTACACTTTAAAGCTAATATGCAGGGTTCATTAGCAAAAAGCTGCTAAAACTAAAGCATCTCTAACAAGGCTCATTATAAATACAACACAAATTTCAACTATTGAATATTTTATAGAATAGCTTAATTTTTAAAGGAAAATCAGGAATCTTTAGAAGGGATTTTTATGAACTCTTTTAATATTTTTATATGGTTATGTGGATTCTTTTATCATATAAAAGTATACTAGAGTTAGTATTAATCTTTATTTTATGATTTTTTCTGAAGTCTATCAATGATTAGCAACAAAATTTTATATTCTTTTTAGTTTCATTCTAGCCCACTTATAATTATCATCTTACCTTTTTTTTTTTTTTGATCAATGAAATAAAGCTTTATTCATCAGTCAAATATAGAAATGTTTGTACATCAAAAACCAGGCAGCCAGAGACTCGACCTGGTAACCAGAGAAAAAACCACTACAACTTCACAAGTTCATCCTTCATATGTACAGGTATATCCTCATTTAGTAATTTGGAATATATGGAATACTTAATTGCTCGAAAGAGATCAGCAGGCCCCCTCGCTTTTGCTTGAAAAATTCTATAATTCCTCTCTTGCCAAATAGAATAGACAGCAGCAGCAAGAGCCATTCTTTTCATATTCTTCTTAAAGTTCTTACCTCTCAAGTTGTGAGAGTACCAGTGGATGAGCAAGCACCAGTTACAAGTTCTCCAAGTGAATCTCAACCAGTCCATCAACATGTTCCAGACAGCAGCTGAGTAGTGGCATTCGAAGAAGAGATGCTTACAATTTTCAGGCTGACTGGAACACAGAACACATAGATTTGCATCTAATAATCTCAGCCTACACAATCTCTCCTGGGTAAGGAGCCTTGAGTGGTTAACTAACCAGAGGATGAAGGAATGTTTAGGGTAATTCAGTCTCCCCCATGTAGTTTCTGCCCATACTGCTGAGGTATTAGATTGGTACAGGGCATTGTAGATTGCTGACATACTGATTTTTCCATTGACACAACAAGAATCCATTGAGCTCATCAATACTTCAGTATTGCCAAACTTAGCTAACAACATGTTTCTAACTTTGAGAAGTTGCTTCCACATCCAAGAATCATTGCTCCTATGTTGAACTTGCCAAATATTTGAGTGTTGTAAATAATGACCGTGCACCCATTTGACCCATAACAGGTCTTTTTTCTGATGTATCAACCAAAGAAGTTTAATAGCTGCTGCATTATTCCACTCCTTTGCCGAAAAAAGGCCTAAGCCACCTTGCATCCTTCCTAAACAAACTGTGTTCCAGGAGATCAGATGGATTTTTTGACCCCAAAGGAAAGAGGAGCAAAGTTTATCAATTCTTTCAAGAACTTTTATCGGCAATATATAATTGCTAACCCAAAAAGATTGAATCCCAAAAATAACGCTAAAATCAGCCTTTCCAAACAATAATAGGTCATCAGCGAAAATTAGATGTGTTATCTTCAATCTAGAGCAATTTGGATGGAACTTGAACATACTGTCATCTTTAAGAAGAGATAACCTTCTTGACAAATATTCCATTCCCAACACAAAGAGATAAGGGGATAGTGGATCCCCCTGCCTTAGCCCTCTAGCTCCATGAAAGTAGCCATGTAATCCTCCGTTTAAAGACAGAATATTTCGGAGTGGTGATGCATTCCCAAATCCAGCCGATCATGTTTGCAGGGAATCCCAAACCAACTAGCATAGATTTGATGAAATCCCAGTTTACAGTATCAAAAGCCTTTCTAAGATCCACACTTATAATAGCTCTAGGTGAATTGTGCTTTCTTCCATAGTGCTTGATTAGTTCATGGGCTAGGAGAAAATTGCTTGAGATAAGCCTCCCTTTGACAAAAGCACTTTGGGCATTATTTATCAAGAAACCCATGACATTCTGGATTCTGTTTGCAATGACCTTAGTAATGATCTTGTATATTACATTACAACAGGAAATGGGTCTGTAGTCTGAAGCTGTGGTTGGATTGAGGATTTTTGGTATCAAAGTTATAGAGGTAGAGTTCAAGGCACCCAGCAGCTTACCTGAGGTGAAAAACTCCTCGACAGCCATAAACAAATCTTCTTTTATAACACTCCATGCAGATTTGAAGAATGAAGAACTGTAGCCATCCGGACCTGGGGCTTTGTCATTTGGCATTGTAAAGACTGCTTGTTTCATCTTACCTTATTGGCTTTAATTATTCATCTTTCTTTTCAGGCGCTATTTCTTCAAGTGTTTTTCACTTTTACAACATCATACATTCTCAAGTCAAACTTGGTTTCATGTCGATCTAAATAACGTGCAAATTCAAGTTAGCTTTAGATTATATTTATTTCTTGTCAATTCAGTTATTAACGTGAAAATTTTAAATTTGATGTAGCACATTCAAACAATCATTAAAGAAAAGAAATAATCACAATACTTAAGTTTGAAGACATAAGTGGGCAAAAATAATCAAAGTGTAACTGAGAAACAACTTTTAGTAAGAAAATAAATTAAAAATACTTAATCATAATATTTAATCACGTGCATAAAACCTAGTATATAAAAAAAGATATAGTGAATCTCAATAAAGACTCCTTTTTGGTTCAGATGGTCTGAAGCATTTTAAAATAAAACAGAGTGTCTAACGGGGATAGTTCTTATATTTCCCGTCTCCCTTTGTGGTTCAAATCGACCCACAAGTATCAGTGCGCAAAAATATCTATATCCGCCGATAGATCTGTATGTATACACATTAGGATACATATACCATTACTAAAAATATGTAAGCAATAGGATATAATTACATGGTTATGTAGTAAATTATACGGATTCGTATTAAAAATATTAGAATATATGTTGATCATACAATTGCAATTGGTTTATCTTTAGGTTAATCGATTTGATACAAACTTGAATGATCAAAAGATCCACTCTTAGCTTTTGAATATAAGGAACATATTAATGAACTCTCGTGTCTTATGAAATATATTTTTCGATATTGTTTAGTTTTCTCACGGTGGTGGATCTAGGATTTTTTTTTTTTCAAAAGGGCCAAGATGCAACCATTATACTATAAATTGATTAAAAAAATCAAACATTATAATGCATAATTAACTGTCACATATGGAAGTAGGTGAAAGAAGATTGTAAAGTAAAAGTTTTTTAAAATATATTTTCGTGAATACTTAAACCATCTCAACAACATATGCGCTTACTCGTCATTGAATCAACATACTTCTATCTTCTAAAGACAATTTATAAAAATATATCAATTATAGTTGTTTTTTACATAACCAATGACTTGACGAATTGACAATACATTATAAATTATACTATTAAATTTATTTTAAACAATAATAAAAAGAAATAAAATAATTTTTACTAGCACATCTATAAGATAATTGTAGAACTACATGAATATAGCAAATCATTTCACATAGCAGTGTATTAATGTAAAACTAAATTTATGAAACTAGATGGTAAATGTAATAAAGGGCAATTCCAAACACTTTTAAATATTTGGGGAACTAATTACAAGATGTGAAGCTTGAAGGGACTAATTTCAAATATTAAAGATTTGGGGGGACTCAAATATGGATAGAGTTTAGGGGCTAATATAATAATAAAAAAAATTCATATACCAACATTTCTTTGTAAAAAAAATTCATATACCAACATTTCTTTGTAAAAGGCCGAGGGGTCATACCAAATATGGATGTGAAGCGGTTTTTTATTTTTTATTTTTTTATTTTTGAAGGTCAGTAGAAGACGTGGGCTACTAGTTTGTCAGCAAGCATTAATAAGAAACCCAATAGCCCGGACCAGTCCCATCCAAAAAGCCAAACAAGTGAACTTCGGGTCCGGATCGCAATCGAAACCACCCGGCCCATTATCGCATAACCTCATTCCTTCCTACATTAAAGTTTTCGCTGCCGCACCCTCGAAACCCTAGCTCCTCCGCTTTCCCTCCCCTCCTCGGATCCCCGATCTCGCAATGGCGGAAGCTGAGCCAGCGGCGGCGCTTGACGTGAAGCTCTTCAGTCGGTGGGCCTTCGACGATGTCAATGTCCGTCGCCCAAAACCCTCGTGTCTTAATTTTATTTATTTTCCTCGATTTATGATTTCCGTACTTTTAGGTAGATGGGATGCCCTTTGATTTCTTTTCTTTTAAAGAAATAACACTCTTTTTTTCCTTAACAGTTGTTTGTTATTGTAATTATCACATTGAGACTGTTTATTCTAGTTATTATATACAAAAAGTTAGATTTTAGCAAATGATTTTTCTTATTTAACCTGTGATTAGCTGTTTTTTATTTATCAAATGATTTCATAATGTGGTTGATCAAAATTATAGCTGAGCTCTGATTGGGGAAAAGTGTTATATTAAACAAATTTGGTTAAGTTTTCAAGGGTAACCAGTACTGGTGATTGGAGCATTTGTTGCGGAAAAATAATTAAGATTTGAACATCACATGAGAAGATTACACTATGCTATAATATTTATAATTTACTTGCCTTCATTTAATTTATGAAATTTGGCAGTCTTTTACTGTAGGAGAATGCTTTTACTGTTGGAGAATGTCACAGACGTGCTCATATGTGATTACAATCTACTTGTGGATAAATGTGATTCTTTACTTTTTAATCGTTTTTGTCAGTTTTATGTAGAGTGGTGGTCTGTCTTGGACTTTGCTCAGTCCTTCAGGCTAGTTGGTTACCTATATTTGCATCTTGTTGAGTATTTGTTTGAATTTCTAATGAATTTTACTTTGCGATTATATGTAGGTGGGTGACATTTCTCTATCCGATTACGTTGGTGTAAGAGTTGAGAAGCACGCGACATACCTTCCGCATACTGCCGGACGATACTCGGTGAAAAGGTTTCGTAAGGCCCAGTGTCCTATTGTTGAGAGGTTGACAAACTCCTTGATGATGCACGGTCGCAACAATGGTAAGAAGCTGAAGGCAATTCGCATTGTCAAGCATGCAATGGAGCTCATTCATCTCCTTACCGACCTGAACCCTATCCAAGTCATTGTGGATGCTGTTATTAACAGGTGAGGAACGACTCTGCCAGTTTTAAGCTATGTAGACTTTGTTTTGCAGTTTATCTAAATAAAAAACAACTGATTTCACTCAGAGATTTGCTGAATTATGAACTAGATGTACATTGCAATGTGGTCATGGTGTGAAAAGGCCATCAATTCATGATTTTTCCTTATTTCTTTCTGTTTTGATAATATCTAATTTATTAGCGTATATGATAGCTTTAATTATAGGTTCAAATGATTGTCTTTGCACTATGTGAAAGAATAAGGAGGATTGTTTATAGTGTTTCTACTTACATTAGGGTGTTGTTCCATTGTTTTATGAAGACTTTAATGAAGTGCATTCAGTCTTGAGGTAGAAAAATATTTGAGCATGACAGAAGAGAACACTACGCCTCATTTGGTACGTAAGAACCGGATGAAGTGAGAATGGATGGAATTAATGTAACAGAGAATAGAATGGAACTAATATGGGATTGGAATGCTCATTTCCATTCTCATGTTTTGGTGCAATTTTAGAGAATAAAGTGGGAATGAGCATATTCGAAACTTATGTATTTTTGGATTCCCAGTTTTCCGATTAAGTGGGAATGCACATTCCCTAGCACATTGTTTTGTATGCGGGGATCAATTGAAGCGAGAATAGGATGAAATAAGGAATGGAATTAATTTGGGAGTGGAATGCTCATTTCCATTCTTATGTTTCTTATGTCTAGGTACAATTTTAGAGAATGAAATGAGAAAGAGCGCATTTGGAGGGTTATGTATTTTTTTAAGTGGGATGCACATTCTTAAGTGGGAATGCACATTCCCTAGCACATTGTTTTGTATGCGGGGATCAATTGAAGTGAGAATAGGATGAAATAAGGAATGAAATGGAATTAATTTGGGAGTGGAATGCTCATTTCCATTCTTATGTTTCTTATGTCTAGGTACAATTTTAGAGAATGAAATGAGAAAGAGCGCATTTGGAGGGTTATGTATTTTTTTAAATTCCCACATAAGCTCGAATCGATGTAGTGGGAATCGATGAAGTGTGAATTAGAACTCTACCTTCTAAAAACATAAGAATTGTCATTCTCTACTCATTCATTTCCGTGTACATGCGGAGGTGTAACATCTCATTGGAATGGTCATTCCCATGTAAAGTGGGAACTGATGAGAAATGGTAATGAGAGGTTTCTACCTTCCAAACACAAGTTGAGTTTGGTACGAGGAATGAGAAGTGGGAGTTGACATTCCATTCCCATCTGTTCCTGCCTACCAAACGCGGAGATGTAGTTTAGTCCGAAAAGCACCTTTTTGCTTAGTTGATTGCTTTTCCATTATTAATCGTAATTCTTAAATTCGTGATATTTTCCTGGCTTCTGTTTACTTATATATTTTGAACCTTAATGCTATTTGTAAATGCTCTGCTATTTTTCAATCAAACAACTATTTCAACGGTTAATTTTTTGCGGTTGATTACACAATCTTATTCTTACTCCATTTAGTTCTATTAAAAGGTTATTTCTGTTAATAATGACTTGCGCTTTTATTTCTTTACTTTAAAAGTATGTGAATTGCTGAAATGCACATGAATGAGAATCCTGTAATACTAATTTTGTAGGATTCTAGCCTGTTATAAATGTTATTAAAGGTTTTCTTTGCATTCTTCTTTTGTAAGTTTTATTTTATTGTGTCAGTGCTCCATTTCTCATTCAGTCGATTACACTAGAGGAATGAAAACTATCTAATTCATTGCTGTTGCTGATGGTTTCTTTCTGATTAGAACTTTAATTACGAGTTGGTTGTGTTTATTTTTAAATATTTAGAGTTAGAAGTACTAATGGAGAAACCTATTTATAAGCCTTGTTCTTCATCATTTTTTATGTTTTCTTTAATTCATTTGATCTCACTATCTCAGTGTTGTCAAAAGGCAGTACTTATCAGCATAAAGTTAAATTGGTTGATTTTTTTTCTCTCAAATTAACAAGGGTATAGTTAAATTGGTTGATTTTTTTCCCCCTTTAGTGGACCAAGAGAAGATGCTACAAGAATTGGGTCAGCTGGTGTTGTGCGCCGTCAAGCTGTCGATATCTCTCCATTGAGGAGAGTGAACCAGGCAATTTACCTTCTTACAACTGGTGCACGGGAAAGCGCTTTCAGAAACATCAAGACGATTGCTGAATGCCTTGCTGATGAGCTCATCAATGCTGCCAAGGGTTCATCTAACAGGTAATGTCTTCTCATCCTTCATCGTCTCTGGTCACTTATAGAGACACAATCGTTGGTCTATGTAATTTTTGGATGTAGAAGTTGATAAGTTCCATCTTTATTAAGAGTTGTCTGTCGAGTTGAGAACGATCTTATTTGCATCTTATTTTCTTGGCAGCTATGCTATCAAGAAGAAGGATGAGATTGAGCGAGTCGCCAAGGCTAACCGTTGAGCAAGGATGGAGACTTTCACTTCATACCTTCTACGTGCGTTAAATGTCTCACAATTTTTGCCTGGTCTTGAAATGTGACTCATTTAGATACTGTTTTTTTTAGGCCAGTTTTGTTGAGATTCATATGACATTGGTCTTTGCCGTTATCCTATTTTCAGTTATTTAAGCAGTAATTAAGTGCTTAATTGTATCTCGTCCTTAATTGATCATTTCCATATTTGCTCTTATCTTCGGTAGGCAGCCTTTTGCCTGTAATATTTTGCGGGGTTAAGCAGTAGCATTGCTGCACCGGTTAAATGCAATCTTGCAGTTATTTTGGTTGATTTTGTTGATTGCTTGCACTGCTTAACTGAAGCTGTTCCTGCTGGATGTTGTTAATGTTTTGCTTATGCTATTGACCATTTCCACTGACGACCATAGCAATATGCCAATATTTCATATGCTACAATAAGATTAAATTAACCCTGAAAATAAAAATTTGTAATAAAGTTTTATTGTTGTTATTATTGTCTGAAGGACGATGACGTGAGAAACCGGACTTCTGTGCATTGGCAGTCCGCAAAGATGATCAAGGTTAAAGTCCACGAGGTTGTTTGGGAAGGGTTTTTTTTTTTTTTTTTATATTGTCAAACTAACTTTTAAGCTAGCCTATTCATCTCAAGCAAGCTAGCTTTTAAGCTACATTTAAGAAAGTCGAGGTATTTCAAACTTCTTAAAAACAACTTATAAACTTATCTAAATAAGTTGGGTTTGACCAAGTAAAAGACATTTCTAGTCACGCATATACATTTTTTGTTTGTTTCAATATCTTTTGTACGAGAACATCCAAATGTGAACTATCAGAACATTCTATCCGCATATGCAGTCTGGAGATTGACACGTCACCGTCCAAATCTTCCTCTCTTCCAAAGTTGCACGAAGTTCGTCTCTAATCACTCTCGGTAGTCGCGCGGAGCCCCGCCGCACGAACCAAGCGCACGCTCGTTTTCGCTCGTGCGGAGCTGTCGTCATCGTGTGTGATAGATGCTAACGCACGTGGCCGACATGTGACAACACGTGCTTGACTGACTTCATGAGAAACGAACAAACGGCAGATGCCATGATCCCCCCCGTTTGCAGTTTCTATTTTCACCGGTAACAGTCGAGAAAGGGAGATAACAACAACAATACAAAATGTTTTTTTAGTTCATTTTCTCTTTTTTTTAATCCTTTCCAAGTTGGAGGGATTTTTCTCTCTCTTTTAACTTTTTAGTTTATTTTGTGGTGTTTTTTTTTTTCTCCCCTCTTTTTCCATCACTCTTAACTTCCTCTCTAAAACATCCTACCAAAAGGAAATCTAATTTTTATCACTCCCATCCTCTCACCTTCTATCGTACCAAACCAAGCCTAAATTCCCAAACAAAATTAACAAAATAACAAAATAGAAAATTTAAAAAAAAAGATTTTTTTTTCAACCCCCAAAAAACTTCATAGAGTATATTTGACAACTAACCTATAAACTTAATAGAAAAGGTTCTCAAGGATATCACAGTTAATCATCCCCCATCCCTACGCTCGATTGACTACGTGGATGAAGATCTTCAACATCATGACAATAGCACATAGTAGGGATGTCCAATGAGGCGAATGAATAATAAACTAACTTGTATACTTGACAACTAACCTATAAACTTAACAACTAAATAATAAACTTAACAAATAATTAATAAATTTAATAACTAAACTTTATCCTCAACAACTAAACTGTATACTTAACAACTAATGAGAAAACTTGACAATTAAATTTGTAACATTAACAACTAACTTGTACACTTAATAACTAAGATGCAACATTAACAATTATAACGTAACCTTAACAACTAAGCTGCATACTTAACAAATAAAGAGTAAACGTAACAAGTAATATAAACTTAACAGCTAAGATATAAGTATTTAAGAAGATAAGTTTTATCATCTTAGTGAATAGTAAGCCTCATCATCGTTAGTGAACATCTCCTATTACGATCCACACTTTGCTATAATTAATCTTAGTGTCAAACTAAGAGAGTAAGTTGTTCTTGATATTAATTGGCTGAAGGTCTGGCATAACCTTCAGAATAGCTTGTATTTGAGTTGCAATGAATTTGCAGGATGCCCTTGATTTATCTGTATTAGCTCCATGTTGACCGCTACTGTGAGTAGCGTGGAATTTCTCTATAGAAATAATCAAGCAATTTCGAACTGGAAAAGCAAACAACATCCAAGGTCATTTATGTGTGTCCTTGTATCGACAATGCACTCTTATATGTTTTCGTTCATTATGATAAAAATCATACTCAAACCTTTTTACAATTGAATAGTATTAAAGTGCTAATCTAACTTTAGCAGCACTATCAAATTTCTATCCTTGTTCACGTATGGTTGTGTGCCACCCAGCTGGGATATTGGTTTGGTTGTTAATCATGTCATCAATCATCATAATAGTGTTGCCAGTAGAACTATCATTAGGAATACGCTCATTATTACATGATTGGTTAAGTGTAGCAGGTGTGCATTGGGAATTTATCGTCGAAATTATCCTGTAAAAGTGAGAAGATAGTATTAGATCAATATCGTAGACAAACAACTTAAAAACTTAACAATTAACTAATAACACTAACAACTAACTAGTAAGATTAACAACCAACTCATAAGATTAACAAACAGTTCATAACCATAACAACTAATCGCTACTGGGTAACAACTTACTTATAAAGTTAACAACCAACTCATAATGGTAAGAAGCAACTCAAAACCTTAACGACTAATCATTAAGGTTAACAACTAACTATAATATTCTTCTCTTTTTATACCGTCATCATATCAACATCATATCCTTTGTATCGACATGTTTATGTAACGGATGTCGACACCATCCCTTTTCCTCCTCTCCTCCTCTTTTATATGTTGTAGTTAAATCTCCCCGCTCAAGCTCATGGCAATGGCTGTCTTCATAAAGGCCAAGAGGGTCTCCGGCCCTCTCGACCACAGGGTCAGGGCTCGGCTCCTCGACAGCCTCCAGCACACGCACGGCAGCGAGCACGACGCCCAATGCCGACCCTTCCTGCCTCTGCCTCCTTCCACGGCCTTCATCGACCTCGAGAACCTAGTCCATCCTCCAGGCCAGCCGCCATCAGCTGCATTGCTGCGCCATCAGAATCCGACGACGACGACGAAGACAGCATACTGATATCTCTGGCAATGCAGTGGCAAGCTTACAAGGCCTTGTGTTCTTCATCAAAAGGCTTGATTTTCAGTCCGAGGGTCCTCGAGGCCGCGGAAACGTTCAGATGAGATGATGCGCTAATGCGAGGCTTACGAGCGCACGAGTGGTACAACGTCCGGGCTCTGCAAAGCAAGTGGGGAGCATGGCGGCCAGGCTGATCGCAGGCAATACGAGTAGCGTCGAACGGTTTGTGCGTCAGCGGACAAGAAACGTTGCGATACCCGTCTACATTGTGGATTGGATTTCGCCGCGCAGTTTGAGGTGTGCGAGGCGCAACGGCGGGTACGAGAATGGTGGCGTGCTGCCGAGGGGTGATGGCGGCACGGACGAGAAGGGGAGATGAAGGCAGATGGTGAGGTGTGATGCTGAGGCAGCGGAAGTCGTCGATTGAGGACGGAAGGTTCTTGAGCGTGCCGCCCGGAGGGAGGAGGGATACATGCTGGCCAAGTAGTTCGGCCCTCTATCGACGCACCGTTACTGTTTGACGTCCTTCCGCTGGAGCTGCTGCGCGCTAGTCGGCAAAGTGAGCCTTCAGGCTGAGGTGCCGAGCGTTACGAGTAGCCGTCGAACTGGTTTGTGCCGTCAGCGGACAAGAAACGTCTGCGATACCCGACTTACATTGTGGACTTGCGATTTCGCCCGCGCAGTTTGAGGTGGTGCGAGCGCAACGGCGGGTACGAGGAAACTGGTGGCGATGCTGCCGAGGGTAGATGGCGGCGACGGGAGAAGGGGAGATGAAGCAGATGGTGAGGTGCTGATGCTGAGGCAGCGGAAGCGTCGTTGAGGACCGGAAGGTTTGAGCGTGCCGCCCTGGAGGGAGGAGCGGATACATGTGGCCAAGTGTTCGGCCCTTATCGAACGCACACGTTAGCTGCTTTGACGTCCTCCGCTGGAGCTGCCTGCGGCGCTGTCGGCAAAGTGAGCCTTCAGGCTGAGGTGCCGAGCGTTAGCCGTGGGGTTTGACGATGTGATTCCGAGGTGGGGGTTTGCTGTGGCCCCGGGAACTCGGACCTGAACATGATGAGCTCTGTTTTTTTTTTTTCCTCCCCCATCCCAATTGATCTCTTTGGTGAGGGCGTATTTTAGGGTTCACTTTGGTGAGGTGTAAGTATGAATAGGTTGTGATTTCAATATAACTGTTTCATTAGTGTGTATGGAGTTCAGTTCATCTCCTGCAACATAGAGGCCTTTTCGAAGCAGAACAGATTTCAACTTGATCAGAGAACTAAACATAAGCAGCAAACATTTACACTTCCCAAACCATCAGGAGTATCACCTCCGGGTTTGATTGGTCTCAAGAGGGTTCAACAAACAAACAATCCTTTACAAACCTACAACATCAGGAGCTCACATATTTGCACTGACGTGTATCTCAGCAAAGGCACTGAAATATCCCCTACAGTAAATTCATTCATTAGAAGTGAATCTGCCTGCATTGAGAAACGTTGGCTTCCAAAGGGCAGTACGGGCATTTAAAAGGCCGGCTGCTGCTCTTCGACAACTTCACAATGGACTGCTTCGAAATCACATGCCCACAGGGCATCAGCATCGGTGGATTCTCCTCGCTCCCTTGCTCTCTTAAAACCGGGCACACAAAGATTGAATGGAACTGAAACTCTCTCCCAAGATCTACAGGCACTGGAAGTTGCTTCATGGTCTGCCACTCTTGCTTCTTAGTAGCAGCCATCACAGTCGCAAGCTTCAGCAATGTCGGCAATCCTTGAACTCCAGCAGTTATCGCCACGGTCAGAGGACTCTCATTAGACTGGCCTAAAAGACTGCAGAATTGCTGGGTAAGTTCTTCAGTTATCTTGTTCCGGTAAGTTGATGTCTGTGATATGGATTCATCATTAGCATAAGGTGACTGGTCGAGCCGACCCGCCCATAATAGACAACCCATGAGCTTTTGGATCTCATCTTCGTGTACAGAAGCAAAGGGTGCTAAGTATTTCCTCGCATAAGTCAGAGCCTCGTTCTTGCTTCCATTCCTTAGTATCTCAACAAACTGCAGCTGGTGAAGCTTTAGTTCGAGGGTTGATTCATTTTGTAATAGTCGCTCGCTATTCGTAGCAGCCCAACTCAGAGCAGCTTCAAGATTTCCAGTTTTCATAGCGTTAAGAATTCTGTACATATCAAGGAATGATGACTTCAAGGCAGCGACAGCTTCAGCGGCTGATGGATCTGCAGCATCATTTACCAAGCAGTCTCCAAGATCAAAAAGGCCTTGCCTGTAAAAGTGAGTTGCTATGATCTGATTTAATGTAGAAATGTCAAAATCGACATGTCGATATGCCTTTGATATGTCTGGATTGAAATACTTTTCGAGCAATTTACTGTACTTGCTAAGCCCAATGTGGAGCTCCTTCTGAGATGCTTCAAGCTGTTGCATGGGAGCAATCTCATTCAGTTTACTCCTCAGCTCACTGAACAGCACTTTCTGATCGGTGGAATCAGCATCATCATCAATTGACTGCATTTTACGCACTACAGATTCAATCTCTTGAATAACCTTGTCAACAACATCTTGGGTCGTAGTAGATGACAGCTTTTGCTTCTTGGCAACTCTGTCAAATGCATCTTTTATTGTATTTAGATCCATTTCCTTCTAATTTTTATAAGACTTAGCCAAGTGTAAAACAACCTGCACAAGTGGGCAAGGGATCACTACAAGATGATGACTCAAGTACAACTAGTTACAATCTACCAAGGGAAAGCAGAGATCCTCAAGAATGCCCCTTAATTAAATTGTAGTTGCTGAAAATTTACAAATTCATTGGTTCAGAAAACTATCATTGCCAGAAGCGTGGAAAATTAGTGACCCCAAAAAAGGTCCCCAGTTTGAATTTGGAATTGCTTATGGAAAATTCTCAAGATATAATATCTCTTGAGAAAAACAACGCAGAGCTAGGAGGTTTGAATGAAGACAAGTCACTGGGGCATACGAGGACTAGAATCTCCTAAATCTAGACTTACTGAATACTCTGCTTTTCCTAAGGAACTATGAAAAAAGGTTATTACAGTTCTAAGTACATTATATAATAATTGCAGACCAATTCGGAAAAAAGGACAAAACATTAATTCTAAAAAAAACTATATGGATTAAGAAAGATGTCTGAAACTAGGACCACTGTGAATCAAACATAAGGGAGTTTACACATAAAATAAGAAAAACAGGTGATCACAGGAGGATGTAGCAGAAAATGTGACAGCACAATCTAATAAAATCAAGAAAATGCATACAGCATAACAACTGATCCCGGGGGATGCGATATAAATAACAACTAGACCAAAGCATTTTTTTTTCTCTTTAGATGCCTAAGCCTGTCCCATCAACATGGAATCCTCACAAGGAAAATCATATATAAAGGGCATTGAGATCTCGCAGTACCTATTTTAGTTGTCAGCATCAATGGATAAAGCCTTACAAATAAATATGGAATAGGTTATATGGGCAACCCCAAAAAACAGTATAGTAAACAGGCAAGATATTACAAAATTTCACAATCGGCTGTCTCTTTGACATCATAGTGATTTGTTGATTAGGTAAGATCACGAGTTAATTGTGAAGAGTAGTGCCTAAGGTTTCATTAAGATTTTGTCAGGAAAGAAAAAAAGATGGAGAAAGGCTTCAAAACTTTCGTCAGCTTTATATGGGACAAGGCTTCACAACATCCCGTCAGCTTTATAAGGGACAAAGCTACACCCTCAGAGTTACATTTTTTGTTTCATACCACAGAAGCATTTTCACATGCATAGTCATCTTCACAAAAGTATCAAAAATCTTTATTTAGTTAACCAAAAAGTAATAATGCATATTTGTGACTCTAGGCCACACCATCAATGCTTGTAAATTACACCTTACTAGCTCAAGCTCATAACATGGTAAAAGCTGAGACCAGTCAGTTCTTGAAAGGCTTCACTCATAGCATACCAGGTAGCGCTTCATGTTAGGTAAAGAAAGATCAAAATAACTAAAGATTTCACATACTTAAATCCAAAATAATCCTAGGCAATATCTTAAGCACCGAAAATCGATAAAACTTGAAATCGTCTCTGCTGGCAGTAAAATACAATTGTCAGACAGCCTGCCAATATCAAACATAGAAAACAATGCCACCATCTCTACTAACATCATACTAATAAGTTTATTAGGTTTTACTAGCTGAAACTTATAAAATGGTACAAGCTTGGGCCACTACAAAGTATATGATGCTTTAGGAAGAGCCTACTTGGTAACAGATAACAATTCCTCAAAGTCTATACAACAAGTAAAAGAAAGACCACAAATAAGTAGGAAATTTTCACATGCTTAAAGCCAAAATAATCCTACAGATCCTTATAGAAGCCAAAACCAATTCAATCTTTAAAAATGATCTGAATGAAAGTGGGATACAATTGATCTCAAATATTCCAAAGGAAAACTTAAAAACGACCGTATTGGAAGATCTCTACCTTCTTCCATTATCATTACTGAGGTAAGCATAAACCTAGCCTCAAAATCCCAAAGACCTTCTGAAAACGTCAGCCAACTTACACTTGATGTCCTAATGGAGATAACTAAATCCAAGCATAAGAAATTTTCCATATCACAATTCATCAAATACAATAATTTCCTGAGGTTATCCAATCTAGGGCAAAAATGTCCAGTCAAAAACTCAACATGTATTACCAAATGTAATCCGCCACAAAGGTCCTTTGTTTCTTAAACATTAAATGATTAACTTCACAGACTCTTTTTAAGGAAATTCAAAACAAACGGAGCTCCAAGTTCTTAACTAGGAGATCCCATGCCAAACCAAGTAATATCAACAGAACATCACACTCTAAAGGATTTATCACAAACAGGCTGAAGTTTCTTTATGTCTTTAACAAGGGAAGCATCAGTTGCACCTGTTCTAATATCTGGACACTTGATTAGAATATCAGAGACACTGATAACCGATTCTCCTTCATCTCAAAAGTTAGCTAGCATATACCAATAAGAAAACTTTGCCTCAAAATAGCAAACATGATAGAATTGGCATGCCAATCTCTTGTGAATCTTTGTCTCATCTCACAAGTTACATTTGATAACTCAATATAGTGAATGTGGTAGCACATCTGAGCAAAATTTTTTTTTTTTTTGCCACTTAGATTGGTACAAAGAATTTCATACTATTTCGTATAGAAACATAAACTCTCTGTTTTAGGATAACAATTTATACCAAGCTAAGATAATCCTTGCACTCCCCCCCAAATTTTCCCTCAGGCCATGTGTGAAGACCTCCTGCTTTGAACTTGTCTTGGAAGACAAAACAAATGGAGGTAAAATAAACGGATTTTAAATTTGGAAACAATAAGGTTTAAACCCAGGACACCTTAAACTTGGTTCTCAAGCAAATCAAAACCTTCTTGATTGGTCATCATGATTCTCTTTAGAAGAGATATCATAAACTCCTTAATAAAGCTGTCCCATTTTAAAATAATAATAGACATATTAGGCATGATCACACAAAAGAAAATCTACCATATGAATTAATATGTACATCTTGCTAATTTACTCTTTAAAAAGATTAAATTCGAGCCACAGGCTTGCTAATTTAATAAAATACGGCCATACTTTAGATACACCGGAATCTAGATTTTAGGTTCTCATCTTGAATTCTAAACTAGCATCTACCTTGAACCATTTCATCTCTCACGTGTATCTGCTCATGTTGCCTTCTCGGATCTTCAAACTACAGACACGCTGCCGATCAAAAGTTCTCAAGAGCCGATTTCTTGAACTACTCTTCAATGGTAAACAAAATCCAACCCCCCCAAAACCCTACCGTAAGATTAATCAACAGACCCTAACGAATTTAACCAAGCCCTCTGATACGCTACAATCCAGACAAGATTCTTGGGATTTCGACGGCAGTATTTTCAAGAAACAAAGAGCGTAATCACATGGAAATTGACTAGGTTTTTGAATCGCGCGGACCTAATCCAGACCGAAATCGATAGAGCTTCATGATCCCATCGCAATTTCACAAGCAATCAAGGGAGGAAAAGGGAGGAGCTCACCTCGCTCGGCGTCGATTTTCAATGGCGATCGTCGCCGAAACCCTAAGAAGATTAGGGCTTGGGAGTTTGGGGCGAAGGGCGAGCTTCCAGCCTCTGGGACCGCTTTTGGGAATGAGTAGATCTGAGATCTCTATCACCTGTAAAATTTATAGAATTTGGGAAATGAAATGAAATGAAAAAAATTTGTACGGAGGGCTCCCATGGAAATGAGAAAAATGTAAGGCGGCTCGGATCGCTCGGATTAGCGGTCCGGGTAGACCCGACAAGGTACATATCATGTCAAGAAAAATTTATGTCTGAACTCATGATTCACTATTCATATTATAGTAAATGTTACAATAACATGTATTGGACATTGTATTTTTTGAAAAAATATTTCTGTAGCACACGAGAACACTACAGCGGAAGCGGGATACTATAGCAAGTCAAAATTTTAAAAAACACCGTAGTTGTTAAACTCGGGATTACTGTAGCATGAGAAAAAGTACATCGTTTTTATTAATTTGCATATACATCGTTTTTATTAATTTGCACTTTCATTATTTCGGAATGACATTTGTTGTTTGCAATGATTTTTTATATCCTGTTTGTACTTTATGACTGTGAGACAGTATGACCGTAGCTTTTCTATGAGTGGTGATAGGGGCACACCATAAACCACATCACCAACCACACTCTCCTCTCTCATTTGCTACAGTACACGGGGTCCCACATGGGATTTTAAAATTTTAAAATCCCATGTGGGACCCCGTGTACTGTAGCAAATGAGAGAGGAGAGTGTAGTTGGTGGTGTGGTTTGGGGTGTGCCCCTAGCATTTCTTCTTTTCTATAGGCTAAACTACCAAATCGGTATTTTTAGCGGAATATTTTTCAATATGGTATTTTTCTTTCACTTATGATATTATGATAATATTAACATCAAAATTAATATCAATCCATGTAATTTTTTCAATACTAAATATATCAATTTGATCGTTTTTCCTATATAAAATAACACCAAATTGACATTGTTGATATTAAAATCATAATATCGCAAGCGAAAAAAAAATACCATATTGAAAATATGATTCTATTTAAAAATGTCAACATGATAATTTACCCCTTTTTTATATGATATCATATAAAAAGATGTCTATAGATTTATTTCCCATAACAATTGGTTATAACTCTATTGCATTTAACTCACCACAAAAAAAAGGATAAATTGCAGATAGACTTCCTCTCATTGGGCACAGTTTGGCGCTTCTCATGCACTAAACAATGACTTCAAAAGGGTATAAAAAGCTGATGTTTTTATGCTCCTCCGACCTGAGTAAGCACAAAATGCCAACGTAGAAAAAGCCACGCAAACGCATGCGTTTAGTGATACATTCACTTGAAACGCATGTTTCTCTTATTTCCAAGGGAACCAAAAAAAAAGGTTTTTCTCAGTAAGTTTCTCTTATTTCCAAGGGAACCAAAAAAAAAAAAGTTTTTCTCAACAAGTTTCCACGGATAAATAGACTTGTTACCTAAAAACCAAGCAACCTTTATCATCATTTGTTAAAAGGAAAATGAAAGGTATACCACACTCAAGTGCAGAGCAACATATGAGCGAAGATACACATCCTTGCTTGTATTCCGATAAAATATTTACATCTAATGATCTGCATAAGTCTCATTCAAAGCTGAACAATGGAGAGAACTGGATTCAAAGGAGAAGCATCTTCAGGGGTTTCCATGTGCCTGTTGGTGAGATAAGTAGAGAGGAACTCGTTAATCTTCGTGATACAGATGCAAGCCGAGACCAAACCGAGCACAGGCTCTGCGGAAGGCTACTTCTTCAGCTGCTGCAACAGGGTCCTGATATTTACCGTTGTTCAAAAACACCGTCCCTGTAGATTCTCGGTGGACCTGGATCAGCAGAGCAATGGAAGACCATCAACAGCAGATAAACAAGTAGCTCCATGAAATATAATTTTACATAGCCCGGTTGAATATTTGGGAAAGCAAGCATACATCTTAACTGTTTTCTTACAGATCAATTCTCGCTGTAGGACTAGAAAATAAAGGGAACTTCTTTTGTGCAGATATGACATCAAGACATCAAAGCCATTCCGTATAAAAGCTATCAAATGCGAGTTTTGCCTTTAATCAGTAAAAGGCTAGGTTGTACTGATACATGTACAGGATATGGACACAATAACGCAAGTACATGAATGCAGCCATTTTTTTTTAAATATAGGATATTAATGCATCGTGGATATGGCAATATAAAGTTATGTGTGTGGATTAACAACATTTTATTGGTAACATAGATCAGGCTTTGCATGAAGTACTCAAGGAAAATCTGCAACAATGTCTTAATTATGAGTAGTGTTAGGGGCACACCACCCACCACAACCCCAACCACACTCCCCCCTCTCAATGCTACAGTAAACCGGGCTCCACATGGGATTTTAAAAAATTTAAAATCTCATGTGAGGCCCGGTTTACTGTAGCATTGAGAGGGGGGAGTGTGGTTGGGGTTGTGGTGGGTGGTGTGCCTCTAACATTATTTCTTAATTATAATGGAATCTGACATATATGTACACCTTATGATATGCAATAAGAAAAAAAATCTTGAACATGCACAAGTGCTAATTAGAAGTCAACTCTCTTCACTGGTGAGTATGACTTTGGGTGGGTTGGGAGGAGGGAGTGTACGCGCCAATGATTGGTTGCTACTTCAGTACTTCAGAAATCCCTTGAGAGTTGAAAACTACTCTAGCCAAATACATGGTTATTTAAGCGTATGGTTTAAATGGCATGAGCATGATTCTACGAGAAACTAAATAAATGATTCAGCTATACAGCTCGAATAAAAGTTAACAATTTCACGACTGGATATGTCGCATTGATGGAATCAAAAGTAAAGGAGATAACAGGGAAGTAGAAATAAATTGATGCAAAGAAAGGTACCTCGCCATCTGTTCCTCTTACTGTAACACGATACACCACTGTCACACTTCCATTATCCGAATAAATGACATCACGAATTTCTCCACACCAGCCTTGTGAAAAAGAGCCAATTTCAATAATATTTCTATAGTCTAACTGCATTACAAAAAATACTTCCCTATGCTGCTAGAGAAATTGACTTTTTTTAATAGTATCTAACAGTAATGATGAGAAGACTTGCTATAGGCAACCAAATCAAACAATAAAAAGAAAAAGATCAATAGTCAAGAAATGTCCTTTTTGCATAGATGTAAAAGTACAATACACATTTCTTTTAAAACTCGTGATAAAAATGTGAGAAGTAACTTATCTTAGTTTCATTTCTTTTAAACATCATGATAAAAATGTGGGAAGCGACTTGTATAGTTTGCAACAAAGTTTGATAACTTGTATTGATCGCGAGATACTCGCTTATTTTGGTATTAGTATCAGGAGTTTCAGGGGTTGCACAGTTTCAGATCAGAATCATTGATACCACAAAATAAATCAAGTAAACAATACTTTTCTTGTTCGTTAGATTATTATTATTATTTCCCTGTAACTAACAATTACATTAACTTTTGTTGGTCAAATGTTGTACCTGCTCATAATTAGTCTGCATTAGCCAATACCACCTGTACCAGCCGGTTTCAATTAAATTGGATAAGCATATACCTTAAATCCAATACGATATTATTGACAAATTATAAGTATCGACTAACATTTCGAAGTTCAAACCTTGTTTTACCATGTTTTTTTTTCTTTTTCCTTTTTTGTCTATTTATCTTGATTTCATTTACTTCCTCCAAATCATACTACCATTTGTCTTATTTATAATCTAACCATGAAGTACTAGCTTGCAAGTCTTTCTTGAACATTCTTTCACAGAATTTAGCCAACTTTCCAGAAAATACAAGAACTACAACAACTTGATAAAGCAAGGAAATATTGGAGTTAGCATGCATGCGACTATAATGTGAGATGATGCAAGAATCATTGGAAGTCAAAGACCATTCATATAATAGTTTCTGTTATCTCAACAGGCGAGAGTTCAAGGAAGGTTAAAGATTTTATTTAGCATGACTAAGAAAATATCCAGGAAGATCAAATAACTGTGACTACAGGAAATCTTGATATGAGTAGCTGAATCTGTTTTACTCAAACAAAGTAAGAGAAACTACCTGGGGCATAGAAGCTCAGCATTCTATTGGCGTGGTACCTGTGGAAATTATAGAAGACCAATTAAGAGAGCAAATTTAAAGTACAGTATAAGTGCAGCCTCTCATATGAGAATTATTTTAACTGCAAAATATAATAAACAAATGCTCATCCACAAGGAATATCTTTAGTTTGAGATGGACTAAAGTAAGACATAAAGGAAAGCAATCAGCAAATATTGCCATGAAAGAAGCACACTGGCCTGAATCCTAATGGATTGCAAAAGCAAAATTGACAGGCTATTTTAACCAAATTTAAAATAGTAATTTAAAGTCGTCCTGGCAGGAAAGTAAAAAACAAAACTGTGCCTGCTCTCTAACTTATAGTAAAGTCTACTTAGTTAGGAGAAAACCAGCATGACTAATTTATATTCCCACTTGTTATGGAAAATAAAAAAGTGCTTCATTCCAATTCTTTAGGCTCAGCCCTATGAATTTTTCCTTAATTCAGGTCTATAGAGGCCATCTTCTTGGAATATCAGGCTCCGATACTCTTTCAAAACCTTAATAACCCAGCCATCATCCTAGAAGCACCTACATCTATAATTATACCCTATGTAAAGGGCACTGGTCAAACTTGTCAATTAACCTTCCCTCATTTTCCTCAACTTATGCTGCATTCAGTTCCAAAATGGTCAAAGAAAACATTATATTCCTGAAAGGTGTATAAAAAAATGCAAAGCAAAGGGAAACAAACAAGCCTCCTTGCACCACGAGGAGGACAAGAAAGAGCATCGGTTTAGCAGAAGGAATCACAATCGTCTCATTGAGAACATAATATTAGATAAAGCTCATGAAGAAGACAATCTTAAACCTCAAATGCACGTGTTATTTTATTTCCCTCTAGACCTTGCACCAATTAAGTATACACTTCATGTCAAGTAACCTTAGGTGACGTTCATGCAGAAAAGAAAAGTTCATAGCTTCCTCTGCATACTGGGGAAACAATAGAAACTTAGGACACTGTTCATAGCACAGACTAAAGGAGTCGAATGTGCTAAAAAAGTGCCATTTCTTTCCTATAAATAAGGGTATCTCGTCCTATCAACATATCTCCTATAAATAAGAGTATCTCATCCTACAAACATATCTCCAAGTCAACATGATCAAAACCTTAACTAAAACTGTAATTTCACTCTAACTCAAACTACATAGCTAATAAATGACTTTCCGTATAACCTCCAAATTATGCGAGTAATTTTCAAGAACATGAGAGGACTTGACCCTTTTATCCACTTAATCTCCTTCCAATTAACATCAATATTCTCATACTACTAACCATTGTTTTAAATATCCCCGACATGGCCCGATATATTCTTTTACAGTGATTGCCGCAACCGATGTGGTCTCTAAATATCCTTTACCGCTTTTTGGGTATTTTAGGCGAAATATATCGATATGACCAATATATCAGCCAATATGTTGGTCAATATATGTTTTTATATGGACTGTCGCAAAGCAGTATACCGCATTTGGCAACTTTTGGGCGAGATATCATAATTTTCCTATTATATCAAATGACATTTTGGCCTAGAAAATCAAACCAAATGTTGCAACATTGATTTGTACTTTTGTATATTTTAAAAGACCGATTAGCGATCCTAAACATATATTAATTATATTTTGTATGCTTAGATTTTTGTAAGTATGTAGAGATTACATTTTAGTGCATTATGCTATATATAAAAATATTTGTTATAGAATTCTGATATTTACTACTTATCCCTGATATGTCCCCAATATCTGCAATCTGGTATGCATTTTGGCCATCCGATATTTCCTCGATATCCGATATTTAATACATTGCTACTAAAAAGACCAGTAATATTATTCACCAACTAAATAAGATAAATTATGAGATTCACTCAATAGAAGAAAACACCATCAAAGATTCCTTTATAATGTCAGGTGGCATGTAGTCTCCTAACTAACAAAGATAGCAACAGACATGTTTGTATTTAGCCCTCGGTCTTGGGCAATCAGGTCATAATAGAAATTTGTGATAATACATCTGATCAAAGTCATTCTTTCCCAACCAATATATATAATCATTCACTAGGTGTAGTTTAAATCATCATAGTTGCAATGCCATACTTTTATTCTCGGTATTCATTAATCCATTATGTAGAAGATGGATATATTTGATCTTGCATTAAATATTTACAAATACAAAAAAAAGATATGATATTGCAATGCAAACTCAAGAATGTGTTAATGTGAGAACTAGAAGGGTTTTGTGCAAAATTTACCAACATGTGTCCAATGGCTAATAAATGGGTGAATGTGACATTATACGCGAGAGAGAGCGGGGATGACCAGGTGTCCCTTGATTAAAATGAGGTGGAGGTAGCATCATGCGAAGATAAAGGATGAGTGGAGGTAGAGGTGGCATCTTAGGAAGAGAAGAAATGGACAAGTGACACATATCAAATAAAAGACGAGTGGAAAGGGTATCTAACCCCTTCCTCTCAAGTTACTGAACAAATCATAAATTAAAGAACATACATTCCACACTTACTAATGTTTTTCTCAATTCCAAGTTCCTTGTAGTTATATGGCTCCTCATGAGTTACTTCTAACTCCTATTAGACATCCCACTACAAACACATCAAATATCAACTTCCAATTCAATGTGTAAGCTTGTACAATTAGTAATATAACCTTCTTCCTAGATACTATGGAGTAAAAGCTTCAAGAACGTGTAAAATCAAAGCACAAACTAAAAAACTTAAGCACAAACTAAAAAACTTACTCTACAATGATTTGTTCCTAAAACCAAAAGTAGTTTTAGGATTTACCTTAAATAATCCCCTCATTTTGTCCCTTCTCTTTACTTCTTTGCCTCCTTTTCTTTTTCTTCTTTACCATTTTGATGTTGCTTCTCTGTTCCTTTCTTGTTGCTTTTTCCTCTTCCATTTTTTTTCTTGCTACTTAACTAAGGGGAGAATGAGGGAGGAGGGGTTAAATATCCCTCTTCGTCATTCTTTATCCTAGACATATGTATTATGTCCATTTTATCATTTCCCATGATGTCACATCCACCTTCACATCATCCTTTATGTTCCCAAGATGCCACCTCCACCTCCTTTTAATCAACGGACAAGTATTCGTGCTCTCACTGATATTGTCACCTCCATGCATTTATTACCCATTAGACACGTGTCAATAAATTTTGCATAAAACCCTTCCTAATTCTAACATTAGCACATCCTTATTTTCTATTAAATATCAAATCAATTTTTCCTTGTATTTGCAAATTTTATTGCAAGATCATATAAATTTGTTATCTAATTCATAATGTAACGAGTACCAAGAATAAAAGTATGGGTAATTCAATAACTCCTATCCCTAGAGACACATTTTTTCGTTTAAGGTCTCTAATAAAGAGTTCTGTCTTACTCTGTTAATACTAATGTTCGGATGACACTTTCAAGGAATACCAGAGTTATAAGTAACACATGTTTGTTAAAATCCTGAACATAACGTATATTGCTCAAACCATTTAAGGGTATTACGAAAACTTGGAATTATAAATATAGAGTAATTTGAACCCTGTAAGGACCTAAATCATTATTAATACTCAATTACATACTCAGCCTTTAATGCCTTGTTTACTTCAAGGAATACTAGTGCATAGTTACATGTCAGTTACTATACCAATATAACACAGATTGCTCAAACCATTTAAGGGTAATATAAGAAAACTCTGATTAATAAACATACACTAATTTGACCCCCTGATGAGACCTAAGCCATTATTAATAATTGATTATATGCTCAGCCATTAATTGCATTGTTTGCTTCTATTGTAAGAAATACATCCTGGAGCTTGCCAAAGGTGCATCTGCTGAGCGTAGTTTTCAGCAGCATAAAAGATGCTTTCTGATAACCTGAAAGTTAAAAGTATTAACTTCCTGCAACAGTTAAGAGTGTTAACTTCCCGCAATGATCAGAAAGAATGTGTTTTGTTGCTGCAAACAAACCATGTTGAACATTGTTATTTTTTGGGTCCCACTATCAAAGCGGACAAAAAAAAGATGCTGTCAACTTGTCACTCAAATATTAAGCTGCAACACTTGATGCCATTCATATTCCAATCTAATCTGCACTTTTAACTCTTTTATATGCTCTTCCGTCAGTAATGATCAAGTGAATTTACTAAAAGTCACTTCGTCATGAAATATAGAGTTTGCTCAGTCTTGTACCATTTCCAAGTTTCTGTTCATGCACAGTTCATGCATTAAATTACACACTCTTAATATCAATGACCTTCTCTCAACCTTGTGGTCTGTTTAAGGCAAAAGCATGCACGTGCTTCTGTGATAGTTCTCTATGCAAGTGTAGATCATGCCTCTTCTGCTCCAGCTCTGAGGCTTCCTTTTCGTTTAGAACCAGATGCTATTAGAGCTCATAACTTAAGGGTTGGTAATATTCCTCAACCAACTAGTTAATGCTGAAGAATTTCAAAAAGGTACATATCCGATGTTACGTGTTAGGTTACATCCTTCCAAAGAATTCAGAGTATCCATCTTGATCCCCAACAAGTTAATAAAACTAATGGCCCAGTGTCGTGGAATATACTCTGGAAGTTTTGTCTCTTTTGCTCCTGATTTTAAGTTCTTTACTAGCAGATATACTACTTAGGAAGGTTTAAGATGCAATTTACCTTATGCCTCTCAGCCAACTAGTTATTACTGAAGAGCTTCAAAAAGCTAGATATAAAATGCTACAGAACCACGTTTATCGTTCCATAGTTATCAGGGCTTCCATCTTGACCCCAACCAGTTAATTCTAATTTTACTAGATCTAGTATTGTGACGTGCTACACATGCTCATTATACAGTATCAGCACATATTTAAGGAGACAAGAGATGCACAAGCTGTGAAAGAAGTGGTAACAGTAAGGAAAGGACCTTTTGGCGCCACTCTGGGTGGCACCAAAATTCAGATCTAGACAAAAGGAAGAGTTTAAATAAACACGATTCAGACTCTGCTAACAGTTTTTTTTAAAAGACAAACAAATTAATTTCTTTTTTACAATCAAAACACTAGGAACACTATGGAAGTAGCATCTGCAATTCTGAAGTATGTAATTCTGCATTGAGATGGCAATGTGATGCCAGAGACAGGAAACTTTCCTGTTCAAGTTTACTTAACCCTATTAAGAATAGTAGTGAGTGCTAAGGTAAGATCACGAGATGACTTCAGTGAGCTTTTCACAACCCTGTATGGAATATCACACATGGTCACTTATCCAAACTTTTGTTACCAAGGGCATGCACTGTGTATATTATGAGGAGAAGACAAGCATGTGCTCTGTGCACGAGACCCAAGGTTCACTAATGAATATTCATTTTAAGGCTTAGTTCGGCAAAACAGTCTCATTCTCCAATCCCGGATACAGTGGATGCTATATACAACACTCCAAATGTTTTAACTTACCTTGTTTCTCAGAAACTTTCAAGTAGGCTAAACAGTAACGAAACTCCAAATTTTTGTAGGTGTTTCCTGTTTCAACCGTTTCGGACTCGCACATCTTAAAACACGTCTCTAAAACCGGCTTTGTGAAATCCACTCTTCCTAGTTGTTCTGAAACTCTAAAGCGAACCGCAAGTTTATTATGTATGTACACAACACCAGGTTTCAAAAATAATTTAAACAGAACTGATTGCCAAAGAATTAGCACCGAGTTCTACGGAAACATAAGTTCTTACGTACACACGCACAAGAGTAGGAACGTGAAGAGCAGGCTACAAGTAGCCGCGAAAGCAATTCGCAAGACGTAAAATAAAATCAAACGAAAAGCTCCCATTAACTCCTCACCTCTGAGATCACCTCCACCCAATACCCCTTTGGATGGACAAAGAAAAGACCGGGCATTTTCACAAGCACCAAGCACGCACAATTGGCATGCAACAAATATGCAGCCAATCCTCCCCAAAAAAAAATCAAGCGCTACACAACCAAAACAGACTTCTACAAGATAGCCACACTAGCAGTTTACCAAGCACGCATAAATTTCGCACATAAGCAATCAAATCAATACACACACACACACACAAAAAAAAAAACTCGCGCTCAACGGAAGAGAGAGGGAGATCAAAATACCACGAGATGGAATTGTTCTTGATGAGGCTGTCGGGGACTCTCTTGTTAAGATCCCTCAAGATCTCCTCAAGAGGCCGAGTCAGCGTGGGCGCCTTGTCGAAGGGGGCAACCACGTAATTCGTGGTGGCTCAAGATCCGCGCTGGCCGCCGCTCTTCTCGGTCGCCGACGCGGCGCCACGCGACCCGATCCTCCGCCGCCGCCTACGCCGACGATCGCCGGTTCCGGCGGGACTGGGACGACGACGCGGTGGCGATCAAGAGGGCGGAGTTCGCGAGGGCCGAGGTCCCGATCGCCATCAGCGCTTGGGGGGGAAAATAAATTAGGAAGTCGTTTGGGGTAGAGAGAGAGAGAGAGAAACGGTCCTGGTATTTACTGATTATTTTATTTATTGATAGAACACCAGACAGTATAATACTTTCTTACAAGAACACCTCACTTTCACACAACTCCTTTATTTTGGTGGACACTCACACAAGGCTACACTACACACTCAAGCTCCCAAGCTCACTTCTTGCTTGCTTGCTTGCTTCCCCAAATGAGAGCACAAGACCCATATTTAGAGCATCTCCAACAGCTTCCCCAAAAATTTCTTCAAAATGGGGAATCAAATGTCATATTCTCCAACTTATTTTTGCTCCAACTCCAACAGCTTCCCCATTTTGAAGAATCATGCATTTATTACAATAATAAAAATATTCTACATCTTTGACTAATAAATAATAAATTATTTATTATTTTGAAGAATCCCCATTTTGACCAAATTATTTATTTTTATAATGAGGAGATGGAGTTGTTTTTTGTGGGTTGAGTCTAGAAGAACGTGAAAAAGTGCTTCCCCAAATATTTGCAGAATGCTGCAGATTTGGGGAAGGCTCTCTATTTTTTCTCTCCTATCCCCATTTTGGGGAATGAGATGGGGAATCTGTTGGACCAAAAAAAGCTCAAAATTCTCCAAATTTTAGAATACCAAGAAGATGGGGAAGCTGTTGGAGATGCTCTTATAATTGTTTAAGAGGGCTAGGAAGTGTGTAGAATAGTTAATCCTAGCCATACATTACTAAGAAGTTTCTAGAAGAATAAATACTAGTCATACACTTGTATCTTCCTAGAAACTTCATGGTAGATATTTTGTAGAATGTTACTAGAAAGAAGTTCTAGAAAGTTGTTCCAGAATAATCTAAGTTGGTGAGAAATTCTAATATTAATGCCTATGTAGGTCCTCCGTACCAAATCACATCGTCTCGAATCTCCAAACATGTCGTTGCGATCACAAGATTGGGATGCAATCATGACTTCCCATGCAAATCGATGCATAACATACCTGAAGCTGTTAAGGCTGCAAAGATCGCCAACGTCACAATCATCGTCATAGGACTGGATCCATACCGATGTCATGAGGACGATGATGACGACCCGGAGAGAACACCGAGCAGCTTTCCGACCAGACCGGACTTGGTGGCTGCTGAAATTAGGGTTTTGAGAATAGGGTTTGATTGATTTGATCAGTATAGGCCTGTCCATCCGGGCCGGTCCGGCCCGGCCCGGCCCGGAAATCCGGGCCCGGGCCGGGCAAAACCGGGACCCGGACCCGGGCCCGGGCCCGACCGGGCCGGGTCCGGGCTGGCCCGGGTGATTTTCCTTTTTTTTTATTTTTTTTATTTTTTTCCAAAATTTTTTAATGTTATTTAACTTATAAATTATAAAAAAAAGACAAGAAAAATAACAAAAACAATAATTTTATTAATTACTTAAAATGACATAAATTACAAATAAGAAATGATAAAAACATATTCTTTATTAATAATTGATAAATCAGTTACAAATTACAAGTACAAATTTATTTTGGAATTAATCGCATCACAATAGATAAGTAAATCCCAACTAGGTTGGCACCTACTCACCTATATCACTATCATTTGTAATTATTTCCAAAATAATTCTTTACAAATTGTAAGCTAAGATATAAAAACTACAATCTATTCTTTATATCTATCTGCTAGTCCCAATTCTTCAAATTTATCTTCAATTCCAGCCATCCGATCGATGCCTTGCGTTCGCTTCTCGTACCTCCACCAATCTTGTAGGCACATCACCGCTTGTACAGTATATGGATCCAAGCATGTCCTGTGATCGTCGATCAAACGACCTGCTGTGCTGAAGGCGGATTCCGAAGCTACCGTCGAAACCTGCACTGTTAGTAAATCACGAACCATGGTGGAAAGTATAGGATATGAAACTGATCCATATACTTTCCACCATTGCAAAATATCTAAAGCATTTCCTTGACATCTAACTAAAGAAGCAGAAAAATATTCATCTATTTCAGAAACCTCCGATGATGACGATCCAAGTCCAGATCCACCAGTTAGCTCGGCTACCATTGCATACCTATCAAAACTTACACTTTTACCTCGGGCTCGGGATGAGCTCGAAGAAACCGAAGCTGCAGACTGTTGTGCAGCTACACCATGTCTAGCTGCATACTCATCATATAAAGTTTGAAAATAATTTCTAATAAGTAAATGATGAGTAGTAGCATTCAGGGTGGTTCCATCATCTAAGTCTATAACCTGTCCACCATACAATGACTGTAACAAACTTCGAAGGCCAATATCCTTCAAGCATGGATCAATAAGAACCCCCAAACCAAAAATATGAGGAATAGGCCTAAAATACTTATTAAATTTGCTCTCCATTTCAAAAACCATAGGTCCAAAAGTAGCATCCAAACGATATTTATCAAAAAAATTTTGAATATTTAAAATTTGTAAAGCAGCTAAAGTAATGGTTGGATAATAACAGCCAGATAATAACATGGTAGCATCATAAAAAACTTGTAACATTTCATTTAAATTACATATAACTGTCCATTCATCTTCAGTTATTCCATAAGTGCTACCAGAACTAGAACTAGAAGCATAATAGTTTATAAAATCAGTTATAATGTCTTTATATTCTATTGCTACACTTAACATTGCATATGTGGAATTCCACCTATGGTCAACATCTTTTGGAATTAGTCTAGGCTTTACATTTTTTCTTTTACAAAATTGTTTCCATCTTTTAAGTCTTTGTTCAGAAGCACTATGCATGTAAGCAACTGTTCTAACCTTTTCTATCATGGGTTTAATTTCAGTAAATGCACTTTGAACAATTAAATTTAAAATATGACAGATGCACCTAATATGAAAAAGATCACCATGACATGGCAATGATAAAGATGATCTGATAAAATCAACAGCTACATTGTTATTACTTGCATTATCTAGTGAAAGAGAAAATATTCTTTGTGAAATTTCTAATTTCATAAGTTCTTCAATTATTAAATTTGCAACATTAGCACCAGTATGTGACTCTTCTATTGCAATAAAAGAAACAACTCTTTTAAACATTTGCCAATTTTCATCAATCCAGTGTGCTGTGATACATAAATATCCAGTTTGTGCTCTAGATGTCCAAATATCAGAAGTTAAAGAAAATTTACAGTTTAAATTTTTAAAATAAGAAATTATTTTTTCTTGTTCTTGCTGATAATATTTTAAAATATCACGTTGACAGGTTTGACGAGAAAATTTTTTAAATGCAGGATAAAAACCATCTCTAAACATATCTTCAAATTCATCATCTTCTACTAATTTAAAAGGAAGGTTTTTAAGAATGATAAACCTGATTACGCATTTCCTGGCTCTGGCAGCGTCATAGTTCCAACTACCGAGACTACCAGAAGAGGAGGATTGAGAAATCATGGATTGTCGGATATCACCTTGAGGAGGCTGGCCTTTGTTGTGTTTATCTAAATGGCGTTTGAGGTGGTTGGTGCCGCTCTTATGATGAGCTTGAAAAATCTTGCCGCACAAAGCACACTTAGCCTTCTGGGTGAGGATCCTACCGTGTTCATCCTTGGTGACGTCGATCTTCTCGTAAAAATTCCACACATCGGATCTTGGCCGTTTAGGAGCTCTTGGTGCAGATTCGTCGCCACCGGATTCGGGATTAACTTCGGTAGGAGGACTGATAGTAGGAGGACTCATAGTAGGAGGACTCAATTCAGGATCGGGAGATATGTTTTGCTCTTCATAATCAGATCCGGAAGCCATTTGGGGATTGGATTAGAAAGTATAAATAAGAGAGTATAAGAGTATAAGAGAGAGTATAAGAGTATAAGAGAGAAGAGATGAGTTTTTGGTGTGAAGAAAACAAATGAAAACCCCCCTCTATTTATAGAACCAGCCCCCTAGGTAAATGACCAAAATAACCTCACAAAATAGCCGTTTTTTGACCGTTTTTGAGGGCAAAACGGTCAAAGGGCCAATCTGACCGTTGTTACCGGGCCGGCCCGGTCGTTTTGGCCAACAACGGTCAGCCTTGTGGTGACCGCTTGTGGCCGGCCGGGCCGCGGCAGCCCGGCCCGGCCGGTCGTTTTCACCACAACGGTCACCCAATGTGCTGTGCCACGCCGGCCGGCCCGGCCGGCCGGCCCGGCCTAATTCCGGCAACGGTCACCACTGGTGACCGTTGCCACCCGGGCCGGGCTCCGGTCCCGGGCTGCCCGGCCCGGGCGTTGACCCGGCGGCGCACTGTACCGGGCCGGGCCGGGCGCCGCTGAGGCCACCCGGACCCGGGCCCGGAACCCGGTCTGGCCCGGTTTTCCGGGCCGAGGCCGGGCCGGGCCCGGGCCAGCGGGTAAAATGGACAGCCCTAGATCAGTAGGATGGTTAGGATTGATTTGAGAACATGTCTCTTATACCATATTAATTAACTACCCGGGCCCGGAACCCGGTCTGGCCCGGTTTTCCGGGCCGAGGCCGGGCCGGGCCCGGGCCAGCGGGTAAAATGGACAGCCCTAGATCAGTAGGATGGTTAGGATTGATTTGAGAACATGTCTCTTATACCATATTAATTAACTAGGAGAGTAAAAGTTTCATATATTGATGTTATAAACTTATAATACAATACAACATATAGACTATACATAGGCTTAAGCAGGTGCGGTTCAATAGTGGGCCTCTACACATACATACTATCTTAACATATTATCAATAAAACATAATATAGGCTTTTTAATTAGTGAATTGCAATACTACTGGTATTGAAAAGGAAAAGACAAAAATTCAAAGTCTTATCTT